AACAACAGTATGTTTGACAGTCAGATGCAGACTTCTTGGTCATACCGACTTTTCGCTGAGATAATTCTTGGTCATACATCTTGGTCATGCCCCAAAGAAACACTTGATCAAACACGGAGAGAGAGAAATAAAAAGTGTGGACCTTACAAACATGGTTCTTGTACTTACCCTCTGGTAAACTAACATAACTATGGAAAATCACCATTTTTAATGGGAAAATCAACTATTTCTATGGCAATTTTCAATAGCTATGTTAGTTTACCAGAGGGTATTTCTCTGTGTCACCTGCTTGAAACCAAGTGCTCTCCCCAAACTGATCAGCCAGTTTCTGCAGCCGAGGTACTTCTCGTTGAAGGGAGGGACGATGCAGCGGCCAAGGGACGAACTTCCAACGATTTCTGAAAAAGCTGGGGATGTTCCACCAGTTGCATGGAAGGCTTGCTTGTGTGTGTGTGTTTGTGTGTTAATATATGGAAAATCTATGGTTAATCCATGGTTAATATATGGATAATCTATGGTTAATAATAGTTACCCGGCCTGGTTATGACGTTTACACTTCGCTATTGAAGCCGTGGCCCAGTCGTGTGTCAGTTGGGATCATCATCCTGAAGGAGGGCAATCCATACAGGATTCGATGCAGCGGCTCTTTGGGGGTTGGAATGTCACCAAAACGATGCAAAACTCATATGCTGCGGTAAGCATGATGTATTTGTCAAACGAAAAATGAATCAGGTGTTATATCTGCCTATGCAACTACCAGTCATCCAACTGCCGAGAACTGCAACAAGGCAATGTTCCACAGGAAAATCATTGTCCAGACCCTATTTTTAGGATTCCATGTAGGTCTTCAGAAGGGTGGGTATTTATACATCTGCCCTTGAACCCAGCAAAAACCCTGATTTTTTGAGTTTTTTATGGATGAAATGAAGGGTTTATATGCATCTGTCATCATTTGTCTATAATATGAAGTGTTTTCATGGGGGTGAATGACTCTAAGTTTGCGTACATTAGAAAGGACTGCAAGCAGATATATGATGATATATGATATGTACATATGATTATGTAGCTTCGTTCATGTGCTTTCTGATATGTGGCCGTTCAACCCCGGCCGCGCTGTCAATCCTCCAGAGACTTGCCTCGGTGCTGGGGACCCCTATTGGATGACACCCAACTGGGAATGGCTCAAATTGCTGCGCCCACAAGGAATATCATGTCTATATATAACTATATATAACTATATATAACTATATATAACTATATATAAATATATATATATATAACTATATAAAACTTGGTATAACTATATATAACTATATATAACTATATATAACTATATATAACTATATATAACTATATATAACTATATATAACTATATATATAGCTATATATAACTATATATAACAATATATAACTATATATAACTATATCTAACTATATTTAACTATATAAATAACTATATAAATAACTATATAAATAACTATATAAATAACTATATAAGCAACTATACTATATATATATATATAACTAGGAGCACGGCCTTTAGATGGCCGTGGGTTTTTTGTGATTAACGGGGTGTCATGGATCATGTTTGATGTGCCCCTGCCAATAGGAATTTGTGTGATGTGACTTTTGAGGTCGTTAACCCCTTATTGTGGTGCAGTTTCACAAAGACAGGTATTTCGCCGAAACTAGAATTTTTGATTTTTTTGCCGACCCTGAAACTACTTCGTGCTCACATGTTTTTAGTCGTCTTTTGGTCCGAGCAGCGCTTCCAGTTCTTCCAGAACCTTTGAGGATCTGGACTTTCTAAGCTAGAATGCCAGCACCACATGAACACATATTGTGTCACTGAGGGGTGCAAAGTGGAATGTCCACGCTCTTTGTGCTTCAAAACCATGTGAGCTGGCAAGAAGTCCTTTAAAGACTTCCAGGACCGGTCCAACGTTTGTGCCATGACGTATGAGTGTAAAGTTCAAAAGAACTTCCACTAGCGTGCCATGACGTATCAGTGTAAAGTTCAAGAGAACTTACAGTAGCGTAGCATGACATATGAGTGCAAAGTTCAAGAGAAGTTATGATAGCGTAGCATGACGTACGTATGAGTGCAAAGTTCAAGAGAACTTACAGTAGCGGCGTAGCAGGATGCAAGTTCACATGAACGTTAATACATGCCCCACCCCACCCCACCCCACCCATGAATACATGCACAGCGTAGCATGTCCTTCATCTGCAAGTTCGCATGAACGTTAATACATGCCCCACCCCAGCCCACCCATGAATACATGCACCTGCCGGCAGCGACAGCGTAGCATGTCCTTCATCTAAAAGTTCACATGAACGTTAATACATGACCCACCCCCAGCCCGCCCCACCCATGAATACATGCACCTGCCGGCAGCCACAGCGTAGCATGTGCTTGATCTGCAAGTTCGCATACATGCCCCACCCCACCCCCTCCAACGTCAACAAAACACCACAGCCATCTAAAGGCCATGGTCCAACTATATATATAACTAAATATATATATATATAACTATATATATATGCAACTATATATATATAACTATATATATATGCAACTATATATATATATAACTATATATATAAATATATGGTCACGGGACCATGAGTCGCCTGGTTACGAAACCATTATCCAGGTATTCTGCACATTGGAAATCAGACGTCAGGCAAAGGTGGCAAGTTTTCATCATCCTGAAAACTAACGCCGCTACTTTTTTTTTTGCATTGCAACTTTGCCGGGTGTTTTAAGAACTGTGCTGGGCTGGGCGATTGCAGCGAATTGCGCCAGCAAAACTGAAAGACGCGCTTTCTCATCAGAGGGTTGACCTGGCTGCCATGTGGGCCATTGATCTTTCGGTGGTAGTTGCTTGGCAAAAAGTCTTTCAATGCCTTCCACTTTCTGTCAATGACTTGTGTTCCAGCTTTCTTGGAAAGCTTGGGGTCAACTTCGGAGAGAGAGCGGCAAAACTCTTTTCGCTGGTGTGACACCTGATAGCATTTGATGCCCAGATGTTTGCCAGCAGTCATCCAAGCTTGATGCCAAGATGAAGCAGCGTGCAAGCGTAGCATGACGTGTTGCGTGCAAGATTATGCGGCAGCGTGCAAGCGTAGCATGACGTGTTGTGTGCAAGATGATGCGGCAGCGTGCAAGCGTAGCATGACGTGTTGCGTGCAAGATGATGAGGCAGCGTGCAAGCGTAGCATGACGTGTTGCGTGGAAGATGATGAGGCAGCGTGCAAGCGTAGCGTGACATGTTGCGTGCAAGATGATGAGGCAGCGTGCAAGCGTAACATAAAAATAGCTACCAAAAAAAAGTCCAGGCGAACGCAGAAAAAGGAACGTAATTACGCCCCCACCCCCCACCCCCCCCAACCCCCCCCCACCCACACAAGCACAGCCGCGACCTTGGTCCCGCGCAACTATATATATACAACAATATATATATAGAACTCTATATATAACTATATATATAACTATATATATAACTATATATAACTATATATATGTATATATAGCTATATATATAACTATATATATAACTATATATATATAACTATATATATATAACTATATATATAACTATATATATAACTATATATATAACTATATATAACTATATATATATAACTATATATATATATAACTATATACATAACTATATATATAACTATATATATATAACTATATATATAACTATATATATGTAACTATATATATAACTATATATATAACTATATATATAACTATATATATATAACTATATATATATAACTATATATATATAACTAGGAACACGGCCTTTATCTGGCCGTGGTGTTTTTGTGATCAACGGGGTGTCATGGATGATGTTTGATGTGGTCGTGCCAATAGGATTTTGGCTGATGTGATTTCAAAGGCGAGAAAACCCTGATTCTGGTGCATAAAATCAAAATCTAGCGTTTCGCCTAGGCGAAACTATCAGCGAAACTATCATTTTTGATGTTTCTCAGGACTCCCCAACTAATTCGACCTGTATTGTTTTGATGTGAGTTCAAAGACAAGAACCCCCTTTTTCTGGTGCATGAAATGGAAAAACAAGTATTTCGCCTAGGCGAAAACGCATTTTTTTGTAATTCCACATGTTATGTATTGATGAAGTTGGCACAGCCTGCCAGACGAAATTGCAACCGACCTGGATTTCAACATGTTATGTATAAATGAATTTGGCACAACCTGCCAGACGACCTTGCAACGGACCTTCACTTGCATCGAACAGCTACCTATAACCAAAGACAGGCATTCATACAAGTAAATGATGTTGAAACCAAAGAAACTGATCGCACTTCCAGCGGACATTTTCTGATTGATTTTTTTCTCACAGCAACTGTTCGAGTTCTTCCAGGAACCTTTGGGGATCTGGATTGTCCAGGGTGGAGCGCCAGCACCACATGAACACATATTGCGTTACTGACGGGTGCATCGTTGAATGCCCACGGTCTTTGTGTTTCAAGACCATGTCTACACGCACATAACGGCACACACAGAGACGAGTCCACTTACCTAGCAAGTTCACATGAACGTTAACACATGCCCCACCCCACCCCACCCCACCCCACCCATGTCTACACGCACATAACGGCACACACAGAGACGAGTCCACTTCCCTAGCAAGTTCACATGAACGTTAACACATGCCCCACCCCACCCCACCCCACCCCACCCCACCCCATCCCCCCAATGTGCACGAAAACGCACGGCCAGATAAAGACCGTGCTCCAACTAATTAGTGGGGTGAACGCAAAGCAAAAACCATAACATGGGGGCGCTGTCTGCATGGGTGTGTCTGAAACGTAAGGGGGAACAAAAAAGGGACCATCCACTGGTGAGTCATCATTCCTTATTAACACAGTTAAATCCTTTTACCAGCTTTTTTTTAATGGTTGTAAATGGGGTTATATCATGTTTATGGGTTTATTTGACAAACAGTACAGGTATTTCGGGCCCTAACTGCATGGCATAACTCTTCATGACTCTCGTAGAACCAGCAGGGATGGCTCAGAGGCAGCGTCTATCCTGCCATTGGACCCCGAAGCGTCGCGGAAAAACATGCCGTGCTGTGCCATGGAACGTCGCGAGCCGTACTGGGACCTCATGGAGGCAAGGGCAGCACGAAAATGGGGCACCTTTTAGATGAATATGTCCGGGCTATATTATTGTTATACAACATATAGGTCACATGCAGGTACTATTACAGTATCTGGTTAATAAATACTTGGTTAATATATCGATACGATTGATTTTTAGGTAATACAATCTGTGATCACACAATATACAGTTAATTTATGTTCATTTATACTGCAGGTAATAGGGATTTGCACCAAGCAACCAATATTTGCTGGAAAATCGGTTTGCCCAAAAAAGCGAATACACCTCAAAATTCCATGGTTTATGATCCATTTCCTTTTTGGCCCAATTCAAATCTTGAACATGTTGAAACAACAGCGAAAAACATGTGGTTGTTAAGATGCGATCGGTTCCTTAGGTTGGGATTGAAGGTGAAACCAGTTTCTTCAGCATCTACTGGTGCACATTGACCAACAACAATGGATATCACTACCAATAAGCATTGAAGATGTCGTACACATCACCTTTGTGCACAGGGACGGAGTTAAAGGCTTGTATGGAACTACACATTCAGGAGGGGCCTCAATGACGGCCAGGTGGCTTGTGGTGTGGGTCCTATGATGGTGGCTATTCCTCTCTTTTTTTGCTGGCTCTTCACCCACGAGGACTCTTATTTAGCAGCACATATGCTTCCTGGCTGCTGGTTTCAAGCGTTTTTGAATTGTTGTTTCGACCCAAGATGATGTGCTTTTCCGTGGAAGACATCCTTAACAAGCCTGAAGATATTCCACCTTGTTTTTTTTGCCTAAAAGGATATGATCGGAATCGGCATTTTTTTTCACTCAACCACTAGGATGGCTGTGTACGTCGCACTTTCTACACCTAATTGGCTGCTCTTGGCACATGACCTGTTGGCCTGCTTCAGAAAACCATCCAGAGAGGCAGGCTTTGAAAATTATCGGAGGCCTACATGGCAAAAGACAGCCATGAATGCGAACTACACCCTCTGCTCGCGACTGGATGATGGTTTGGTGGGTTACGTCGTCAAATGGGTTATACTAACTGACTTATTGGGGAGTATCATCACCCAGAATAGGAATATGTACTAGCCAGCCAGTATAATGAAATGGGATGCGGCTATTTTTCATGGTTCATATGGTTCCATCTGTGTTTTTCCTCTATGTTTTCCCTTGTGTGGATGAGAGCCATCAGTTGTTCTTTTGGTCACTGTAGATCCAAGTTGGTAAGTTCTTAACAGAAACCACTTCGTAATAGCCTGGAGCAACCTGTACCTACAACCTCATGTGCATTAATTAATTCCAACATGCGAAACACTAAATAAAGATGACTTCTGAATAAATATGTTCAACATCTGCGGTTGGTGGGTGCCTTTCCGAACAATTAAGAGAAAACCAGGACTTTGATTCGATTTGTTGTTTCGCTATGTGTGAAAACCAGGTTTCTTCTACTTTCCGGTACTCCGACGCAGGCCGATTTATAGATGTTCTTCCATTAAAACTTCCGTTGAGTTCGGGGATTTCCGGCTACGTTTGATGACACCGGAGGGTATCCAGCCGGCGCGGCGAAGGTTCTTCATCCTGAGACACATCAAGCAAGATCCAACACCTTATGCGGAAACGATCGACGGGACCATGAAGACCACGACCCCTCCGGTGCTCACATGAGATGCGACGTTGCGCTGTACAGCGGTGATGGGTCAAGACGGGGAGATGGATGGTTCCATGGCCACACGGTTGGAATGGCAAGATGGTGATGAAGTGGATTTTTAGGTATCCTTTAGTGAGGTAAGCCCATGGGGGTCTTGGTCAAAGGCTGTAACATCAAACATCATGAATCAAGGACGAACAACAATCTTATATGCCAGCTATTTCGATGTCAACAGCAGAGGGAGGTTTTGAGCCATCTTTCTTTCCTGCTGTGGGATGAGCTGCGCATAATTAATCAGCATGTCCCAAGGGCGGCGAAAGGGCCACCCCAAAGTCTTTTCGAGGTGTTGATGCCAATGCGCTCTGAGTTTTGCGCGTCTTGTACAGTTTCAGCACCTTGGTGAGAAAAAATTGGACAGGCGATCCATAACCCTCCATGCCCATGATCCATACCCAAAAATGATAAGTTGCACTCATACCAGGCCACTTCAGTATACCTTCTCAATAGGTCCGGATCAAACCCGGATCACCCGTTACGCCACCACGGACCGATCCATCCCCATTTTTGGAGCCCCTGATGGTGCAGTCAGGGGTGTGCACACCTGGATCCTGGATCCAGGTGGAGAATCTTGGGGGAATACTTCAGATGAATTGGAACGACAGATTTAAATGGACCCAGTTTAAGCGTGGCTTGCCTTTTCCTTTTGATGTCCTTCCAAACATGGGGCTGGCTCGAATGTGCGCTGCCGGCAATGAGTTCCACAAACATATCAGCAATCGGGTATGTCTCAGGGGTAAAAAGAGCACAGATTCAATGGGTCACTTTGAGGCTTCTTCGCTAGCCTCGTTTTGGGTACCCGATCGACCCATACCCTTACAAGGACAACACCCCAAACACGAGGCCGGTAGTGTCTCTTAGTACTCGTTGGTGGATAAGATGACTTATAGTAAAGGCTCATGAACCTTCATGAACCCATGTTCATTCTGTTTTGGTTGGTTGATTTGCAGAGTGTGCCGTTTCACCCTGAATTGTTGTCAAATTGGTTCAAAGTGGGGTACTTCATGGTATGTCATCTTCCTTTTTTTCCAAAACCATTCTGGGCAAATGATGGCAAACAGCATGCCCAAGGCATACTTTTCCAGTATTTAAATATTTCCTTCATTATGAACAAACGTACACCATACGGGAAATGATGAACCTGCTTCTTGTACTGAATTAAGGGAACATTTGCAGCAACCCCTGCCTTTGACGGTAATAAACCTAGCCTTTGTGAGTTTCCTGCAGATTTTCTTTAAACCCATTGTATTCACCGGGACCCCCTGATAATCATCTAATATGACAGCGCGCCTTTCTGACCATTCTATTCCCACCAAAAATCCCCATGAACTAGTATAACTGGTTGGTGGTTTGGAACAAGCCGTGATGCTCAAGTTGCCTCCCAGCGGTGCGGCTGGACTTTCTAAACCTTGAGCCGTTGTTGTCCCTCGTGTTTGCCATGGCATGCGAATCTTTCCCCATGGACTTTTCTGAAACTGATAACGGACAGATGATTACGTTATTGGTTGAACCTGTTGTGGTGGATTCCTCACATGATTCCCATCAGCTGAGAGTGGTTCACTCAGGGGCCATTTGCTTCTTTGCTGGGTTGCTCCCAGCTGGCTTTGCACGATACACTTTGTGCGATGTGGAGGTTGTGAAGCAATTTCCGGTTCCTTTGGTTCGTGCATGTTCTCAGACCAGGGTTCTTACTCATGCAGTTCCTAACTGGGTGGATATGCAGAAGATGATTGACTGTTGTTCGGGGATAGGAGGGATCTCGCATGGAGCTCAAGCAGTGGGTGTGGTGACTACGGTTGCGGTCGACTCCAACGTCCTCATGTCCAATCTTCACTCTTTGCATTCTGAAGCTGAAATTGTTACCGGGGATATTGGTGATGTCTCAGTAATTTCAGAAGTGTGGAGAAAAGCTGATGGGGCCAAAATTTTTGCGGCAGGGTTTAGCTGCCAGCCTTTCAGTGTGCTCGGTGATAGGAAAAGTGGTCAGGACCCTCGGGCTGCCTCTTTGCCCAAATCCCTGAAAGCTGCATACTACTTGCAATCCAAAGTTGTGTTGCTTGAGTGTGTCACTCCGGCCGGTAGTGACAAGTTTGTAGCTCAGTGCATTGATCGGTTCACCTCACTGACCGGTTTCAAAAAGGAGCAAGTTGACCTGCACCTTCATGAAGTTTGGCCATGCAGGCGATCACGAACATGGTGGCTTCTCACAGACCCGTCTATTGGAGGTGTTGGACTAAAGAGTTGGACCCCTATAGCCAATCTTCCTGCCGTGAAATGTCTTATTCCATACATTGCCAAATGGGACCCAAGAGATGAGTTAGCCCTGACATTGGATGATGCAGAGCGAGCTGCATTTGGAGCAGATGATGGTAGGTATCCTGGATTCTTGCTTTCCTCAGAAGGTGTAGCGCCCACGGCACTTCATGCTTGGGGTTCTCAGCTTAGGCCTTGTCCCTGTGGATGCCGGGGCTTTGCTTTGTCAGAGAAGCGTCTGCAAGAGAAAGGTTTGTTTGGACTCCTGATTCATGTGCAGAATGACCATGGACCACAGCCGTGTCTCAGACATTTGCACCCGAATGAAGCACTTGCACTCAATGGCATGGACTGTACTATTGACCTCGGCCTTAATGTAAGGTTATCCCTGTCTGGAGTAGGTCAAATTGCGAGCCCCTTGCAGGCTGCCTGGGTCCTTAGTTTTGTGGTCTCCAAATTGCCCATGCTCCGGTCAGGTTCCAGTCTCTATTCGCCTGAATCACAATTGGTTGCCTTTCGTTCCTGGCTTCTCATGAAATGTTTTGCGATGTGGCCATGCAATGACACTGTTGTTCCTGACAGTAAACTCAGAGAGCTTGTAGGGTTTTGGAAAGACTACAAAGAAGTGCCCATTACTCAACTGATGCAAGTGAGTCATTGGCCTGACTTGAAAGGAGACATGATTTCCATTGCGGCGGTGCTTGATTACATCATTTGCAGCTCAGGGCCTTCTGACCCAACTGAGCCTCATGAATGTGACGTTTCTGAAACGCCATGGTTTGACCAACCTATTGCTGACCCTAAATGTGATTTGTGCCTCTCTGTTGATGTGTCTTGTGACGCTGATTGACATTGATGGTAGTACGGTCAAGTTTGGATTTCAAGCAGGGTCTACTGTAGCTGATGTGCTCACTGCTCATGCTCAGCTTACGGGACCATTGCAGGTTCAACTTATTTCCAATGACCAAGGGCATTTTCTCCCATTTAATCAGCAGATTGAACCGGGTCAATGCATTCAAGTTTTCTTGTCCAAAACTGATGAGGGTGAACTTTTTGCCGGGGCTTCCAAGAAGTCTGGGGATGATTGTGGAGATCTTGCCAGTACTTTGCGAGATGTTTCGATGGAGCCAGCTTGCGGTGTTAGTGATTCTCCTCAGGCACCCGGTCCCCCTGTTTGTTTGCCGAAGAGTGAATCTCATGGTGTGGTTTTGGACAAGTCTTTGCATTTCCCTGGGGATCAGATAGAAGATGTCATCAAGACCGTTGATCTCGGTGTCAAAACTTCTGAAGGCTTGGTTTCACCTACTGCGATCTGGACAGTTCCTTGCAAAGCAGAGAGTGAAGATTCGGATGTTAACCTTCGAACATTGTCTGCTCCATCTTTGTGGGGATCCATCCAAGCTTTGTTTGGATTGTCACAACAGCAGTTTCTGAAGTTGTCGGTCCCATGTGTTGGGGATCCTGCCAAGCTACTTGCGTTGCGTAGTCAAGTGATCACACCCAATGAAAGGCTTCAACTTCTGGAAGCTCAGCATGGACTCTGGGCTGATGATGAGATAGCATTTCACCTGCAGCTGCTGGCTGATCAGTTTTGTAGGCTTCCCACGGTCATTGAGTCCGGCAAAGCCAGAATTTGTCTGATTGACCCTTTGCTTATGAGCGCCTGGATCTGTGGGTGTGGTTTTCCCATTGACATTTGGGCCAAAGATCACCCTGAAATTCGACAGTTTGGCATTCAAGTGATTGGGGTTGGTAGGCTGGAATCGCACTGGATCCCGTTCCAATTTGTCCCTTGTGGTGCTCATGCGAACGTGTTCACTTGGGATTCTCCCAGTGTGAGCCATGACAGGTTTAATCAAGTCCTTGAATATATGGGGAAAGCTCTTGGTTTCAATTCAGTATTGATCAGTAGACAACAAAGACTTTTTCCAGTGTCAACCAAATGTAGTGCTATGGCGATTCATTTTCTTCATGGTGCTCTCCATGGAACCATGCTTCCCATTGTTGCCAGTGAAGTGGATATGGTTCACTCCATGCTTAGAAAGAGATTTCAAGCTGCACTAGGCCAAACAGGTACTGCTCAACGACCGTGGATTTGGGGGAATGGTGACGTAGATGATGATGAAAGGGGTTGCCCTGCAGTTTCTTCAGGGGAATGTGGGCTACTCCCTAGAATGCCCACCACACCTGCTTGTGCAGTGATTGAGTCTCTGACCAGGGAGACTCGAACTGCTGTTTCTGATGAGGTGACATTCCATCCGACTCTAGCCGCCATGAGGGTAGGAGATTTGCACATGTCCCCGGTGAACAGTTTTCCTGATCCACATGACACCATGCCTGAAGCCTCTGATTCGGTACAGGTATCAGTTCTGGTCCAAATGGATTGCCAACGTATGAGGAACTTGGATCCCCCAATCATTGCAAGTTTGACCAGACTGGGTGAGTTGAGGTCACAGCTCATCTCTGTCCATGACAGAATTGCTTTGCTTGTCCGACAGTTTGGCATTTGGGCGGATGATGAATTGAGGTTTCATTTGCATGAATTGGCAGCGGTTTGCAGTGCAGGTGGTATGATTGATGGTGATCTTCAAAGACCTGTAGTCATTGATCCACTTCGATTTTCTTCTTGGTTTGATGAGAGATCCATGACGTGTACTCAATGGGCCCTGACACAACATGATGTGTGGATCACGCAAAGCAAGGTGTTTGGAGTTTTCAAGTGGGATCATCATTGGTTTCCAGTGTTGTTTCTTCCTGAAGGTGATCATGTTACCATCATGCTGAGCCACAAGCAGCTTCAGATACCTGCTCGACTTGTCAACATATTAGTTGACA